GATTAGGTCGCTTCAATTAAAAGTTAAGAAATTAGAGGAGGAGAAAGACGGAGATGATGGAGACAAGAAACCAGATCTGGAAGACGACGAAACTAAACCGGTGAGATTAAACCGGGAAACGACGGAGTCTGACCGGGAAAATCGGTCGATGAACGAGTCGAACTCGACAGGCTCCGTCGATAAAACCGCCGATCACGATCGGTTAACCGGAGATAAATCGGTTAAAGCTTACGTGAATTCGGGAAATCCAGATCCCGATCCGGTTCGTACGGCGGCTACGGAGAAGGAGGAAGGAGAAGAAGGAACGGTTAGTAGAAGATCGGAAATGAGTAACTCCGGCGAGTTGGGCGAATCGGGAACGTCCACTGGTCATAAAAAGAGGAAAGGATCGAAATACAGAAGCGGCGAGGATAGTAGTAACCGCGGCGGTGATATCAAATCGACCGGCGATAAATCACAGCCGTTGATTGAAATCATTAAACTGATTCGGTCTCATCCTCGTGGATCAGTGTTCGAATCCCGGTTACGTAGCCAGGTCAGCAAATTGCCTTATTTTCCTCGATTTTTTTTTTTTTTTGTAGGAAATATTTCTCTTATTTTCCTACGTAATATCATCAAATTTTCTCCACGTTTTAAAAAACTAACAAATACTTTAGTATTTCCACAGAAACAATTATTCTAAAAAAATTCACACGAAAATGCTATAATATTGCATTCTATTATTATAATATCTGTTTTCTTAATTAGAGTATTGAGAAGACGATTTTATTCTAAAACAAGAATGTGTTCATTATATCGTTGGCCATATATTCAGGCCTATATATAGTCAACCTAATTTTTTTGTTTTTGTTTTTGTGTCCAAGCTACTAATATGTTTCTTTCTCCAAAACTTAAATAACCCGAATAAATGCAAAACTTATTTTTGAATGAATAATTTGGCTATGCAACTTAGATTTAAAATTCTCATTTTTATACTTTTTTATGTTTTAATGGTAGATTTTGTTGTTTTCTTTTTTCTTCTTCTTCCCCCTTAAGAATTTTCAAGGACAACCAATAAATTTATCCACACACACATTGTCTAATTTGGTCGGGACCACTCCGATTTTTACATATATTTTCTTTTCACTTTTTTTTTTATTGATCATCACCTTTTACATTTTTCGAATTACGCTATTATTATTATATTTAAACATATATAATTCTTTATATGGTAGCAAATCTCTATGTATCGTGTCGATATTTTCCTTGTGTGTTTGATTTCAACTTCCGTATCCGATTTATTATGATTTTTTAACAGTTAATAATGCTCCTTTTTTAACGTTATTCTTGTTACCAACACATAAATTTTTCGTCGAAAATATTTTTCTTTCACCCATTTATCATTTGGTCACATAACCTTGGACACCTGGCAGCTTCCCGTTGAAGCATGGCTTTATCGTGTTTTCAAGATATGGTCAACTTATTGACTTTTCAGCCGCCTTTAGGCCGATAATTTTGGGCTTTAGTTGGGCTTTTGCTTAAAGTATATTACACATTTACATGGAAGCCCATTACTTGAAAACGTTTTTTTTTTGTGGCCTCTTACTTTTACCTCTCTATTATCTGGCAGGAGACAAAGGATTACAAGAGTTTGATAAGGCAGCATTTGGACATGAAGACAATAGAGAAGAAATTGGATAAAGGATCTTATGTTTCTTCAAGTCAATCTTTTTACAGAGACATCAAGCTTCTCTTCACAAACGCCATTGTTTTCTTTCCTACGTCTTCCTCGGAATCCATGGCTGCACATGAGCTAAGAACCCTCGTCTCTAACGAAATGAAGAAACAAACCGGAAAATCGGGTCACATTGTCGGCAAAGCAGACGCTGAATCGTCGGTTTCTAGACAGAAATCCTCTGTTCTTCCTCTTGTTGCTTGTAAGAAGCCAAAGAAGATGTCTCCTTCTCCGAGTTTTAAACAAAAAGATGAGAAGAAGTCTCAGGAAGTTGTAGAGGAGAAGACTGTGAA